ATAATTTTACAGACGGTCAGATCGCAGAAGATGATCACCATATGCGACGAGCTCGAAGTACTCGCGTGTTATCTGGATACACATCGGACGTGGAGTGAAGACACTTCACTACTGCTCCACCAAGTCCCCACGTCACGCAAAGACACTGAAGTTCTGCCACTTGACCATCTTTATAGCTACCAGAGAAGGAAACGGATGCCCTACGAATGGGAACACAAAGTGAACAAGTTCAGCAGATGACGAAACATCATGAAACCTACTGGCGTCGATTTTTTGGGTTACTGGGTGTAGCTAGAAAGTCGGATCCAGCAATATTGTATAATTTGCTGGCCCCGCTGCACCACACCTACATGTACGCCTATCTAGCCCTAGCTTGGTGCCCCATCCAAGCAGAAAGAAACTGCGTTGTAGAAAACGCCGTTATTCATTCTAGGTGTCTTGCCACATGCTGTCGGACAACATTACAACAAGTTGTATATCATTCATACTGAAAATTGTTGGATCAGACACAGGATACCATATCAGAATGCCAACACAATTTTACTCACAATACGACAACGATCTCACTACGTCGTGCTCACTGCTCATATTTGATTGTACAATATCACAACTGCGTTTACAACCAATAATGGCATTAAGCTGGCATTGCAAATTGTATATTAGCTGAATAAAAGCTGCTATACATATCTTTGCCACTGATGTCATCCGTTTGCGTTCGAGTCTTTGTGAGACCTCACATCACGATTCAGTAGGTGAGATTTACTGGCCTAGTGCACCATAACTTTGTCTTCTTCTCCTTCTTTTTTAGCTGACTCTACACCACCTACGGCCAATGAGAATTAGGCACGCTATGTCGCAGAAGTTTGTGATGGTGCTGCAGGACCTTCCGAGTCTGAGCACAATCCAAAACTTCGTGCAGCACTACTCGAGAACCCACATGATGCGCAACGATCGCGTGGGCGACATGCGTAAGTGGATCCACGAGCGTGCGTTCACTGGAGAAGAGGGCTTGGCTCAGCCTTTCACTTATGCGTGGGACCTGGACGCCGATGGCAAACCTGTTGTAGGCAACGGTTCTGACGAGTGAGAGCGTCGTCGGATTAACTTCTAAGACGCTAATGCTGCGGCTGATGAGGCCTCCCGCGTCGCTCATCCTGCATGTAGACGCTACCTACAAGCTCAACGACCGGGGGTACCCTGCCATTGTGGTCGGAATCTCAGATTGCTCTCGTGGGTTTCACCTGGTGTCGATATTAATTGTATCAGGTGAAACCCAAGATATTGTACAGCCGACGCTCATGGCCCTGCGTCGACTATACAGTGTACTCACTGGACACGACCGGGTGGTACAGTACGCCATGGCTGATGCCGCCCAGGCCCAGTATAATGTCACTAATGCTGTATTTGGCAACAACCCGCACTTTACCAGCCTCATGTGTTTCTTC